GGCTCGCGAAAGATGCTACTGGGCAGCTGGGGGCAGTTCCTCTCCAACAACAACTGGAGGCAGAGGAGCAACGCTCACAACAATGAGCAGAGCGCCGGGTGGATAAAATACAGCAAGTTGGCACAGTAGGGGGAACAGCTGGTGCATCTGCCAGTCATCTCGGACAGCCAACCAATGGCACCTGGGTCTGTCCTGTGACCTCCCGTCAGCGAGCCTTCGACACTTCATGTGGTCTCAAAGTGCACCTTGCCTGGCACAGGCGACGTGGTGATGCCACCGTCACTTAGTGGCGAATGGCGGTTGTATTAGTATTGGTCTCGGCTTTTTCCACGGCTCCACGGTGCGATTATCCAGTGACTCTCCCACGGAACGCAGGGAAGGGAAAACAATAAATTAAAGAAAAACCAGGTAGCCCTAAGCGGGGCTTTTGAAGCGGAGTCAGCGCTGTTGAAATAATAATAATCGCCTGTAGCACCGCCATGGCCGCTGCCACCGCCATCGCCGCTACCGCCACCGCACGATGTGTGGCACGCTTTTCTGAGCGCCCGTCGATCGATGCGAGGTTTGAGCCGAACTGAATGAAAGTTGAGCGCATAGTCGGGAGTGTTCCGGGGGTTAATGTCAGCTCACACTTGTGTTCATCCTCGTCATCATTGTCATCATCGTCGGCCACGCTTAATCCACCGCTGGATGAAGTTCCCCCCCCATCCCCCCAGCCACCACCATCTGTCACGATCCCACGATGTAGCAATCCGCCTAACACCTTCGCCGCCGCCCGACTTGCTATCACTTTATCGATCCATCTCCGTGGCGGACGTTCGTGCCCTCCCTTTAGTCAGTGGGGAGACAGCAGTGGCAGTGTAGGCGAGCAATTGCAGGGCTGGGCCTTTACTTAACAATCCCGGTGGTGGCGGCCGCGGCATCGGCGTGAGCGTTGGACTCTTTGTTTGCGTCTTCGTTGGCCGTGGGCCGGTTGGAATTGGAAGGCGACGCGCGTCGTCACGGCCTGAGCCCAGCCGGGGGAGGCGCGCTGTGCGCGCACCGCAAGATGACGGCTCCCGAAACCCCCGGAGTGTTTCATCGCGAAATTGGCCGATGGTCGAGACGGCAACAAGCGCGGAGATGGGGGAGGGGGGGGGCTACGAGCGCCACGCTTGCGGCGACGATTTCACTTCTCCGGCTCAGTGGGTTTTCACGCGGTGTATCATCACCAGTGTGCGAGCCTGGCCAGGCCTACAGATGAGCGCGCTGTTGCCGAGTCACCGATGCGCGGGTGCCGCTTGCGCGCGGGCTCTTTAACGATCGTTTGGGTATCTTCGGAAGTATAGGTTTGCGCTTAACAACCATTGCAGCTTCTGTTTGGGTGTACTATCCTGCAATCGGACGTTGTTGCTGCTTCTGTCGGAAGGGGGGGGGAGGAGGTGGGGGTAAGGGGGGGGGGTGTGGGGTGGCAGCTGTTGAACGATGGGCTGGGGTAGCAAAACGATGAGACTCTGAAGAGGCGCGCGAGATAGAGAGAGAGAGACGGACGCTTTTGGAGATGTGACTTTAACGACGGGAAAGCAACTCGTCACTGTGCCCAAAGCAGCGAGTTTTTAGTCAGTGCACGTTGCCAGATTCGCCGTGAACTTCTGGAATCGAACCGGTGACCTCTGCATCGCAACCGGTGACTTCAACTTCAGCGTGCATTGACCATTACCCCACCAACCGCGACAGCTCCTAGATTCTATTCATCGTCATTATTATTAATTATTTATTGCATTTAATTAATTTCGCTTCGGCTGCTGCTGCTGGTGGTGTTGTCGGCGTCGAGCGATCTGGGCCATTCCCTTTTCGGGTCGAAGCGCCCGTCAGAGGTCGTAACCGGGTACCCGATACCCGTACCCTAGCCGATACCCGTTTGCGACCCTGGTGCGGCCGGGTACGGGTACGGGTAGACTGTGAGTCACTGGTGAGTAACTGTTTGTCACTCATTTCCCAACATCTTGTCTCTTCTCACAATTCAAGTTCCTAGAATCAACCCACCCGCACCTGCAACATGGCTTCATCCCAGCGGTCGCAATCAGGTACCCAATACCCGTACCCTACCCGTACCCGGCCGGGTACGGGTAGGGTACGGGTACAGGTACCCATTTGCGACCCTGGTGCGGCCGGGTACGGGTACGGAATCAAAACCCGTTTGCGACCTCTGGCGCCCGTCCTGTCGGTGCCGTTCCGGCAAAATCCCCCACGTGCCACGGCACGTGCTACGCCGCCTAGCCGGGTCAAGCCGGGCCGCTCATGGTTAATAACGCTCGGCAGCGGCGGTGGCGGCGGCTACAATAGCACCTTTGATCGGGGGTTTGCTCGCCGGGTCAGGAGGTCGCGGGCCAGGGGGTCAAGAGCGACTTCTCAAATCCTTTAAGTCCCGCGTGCGATTATAAAACGTTCCCCCTCTGCGCATCCTTTTTTTGCCGTCCGTCTCCCATCAATAACCGGGTGTCGTGACGTTCCACGGCGCAAGCGTTTCGTTCTCGCGCCGCAGCCGTTGGCGGTTTTTTTCTTTTCTTTCCTTTTCCTCCGCCATCATCGTGCTGGCCGGCGTGCTGGCCGTTTCGCGTAGTGCTGTGGGGTTTTTTTCTTCGCTTTTGTTTTCGACGAGTGGTCGCGACCGCGCTGGGGTTTCGTTGACCGTGAGCCGCATGGCCGCCGGCCGTGACCACGTCTCACCACCCCGCACCACCCCCGCCCGCCGCCCCCCCACCCCCGGTCTCATCGTATTTCGCAAACTAAGTGGGGTTGTCGGCACTCGCTGACGACGACGGTGAGGTATGGAAAAATATGCCTCGTGGGCCCCGCACGGCGTGGGGTGGCCACCCTGTCTTTTATTTGGATGAGCGACCGGCACCACCAGCACCGCCTACAGGGCTTGCCAGGTGTTGTAGGCGTGGGGGCAGCAGCGCGGTGCTGCTGGGCTGTCTCCGGGGTTCCCTGGTTCCCTCCTCCCGCACACACGAAGCTAAAACTCTCATCGCCGACAACGGAATTCACGGGCCAAACATCTCCCCTGGTAGCAACACCCTCCTGAAAACAGTTCTTGAGATGTCGGTCTTCCTCAGTCGTAAATCATCGTGATCGTTTTTGTGATCGCCGTTTAACCCACTGCGTCTCGTGGTGTCACCACGATGCACGTTCGGAAAAAATAATCGTATTCCACGGTCGACTCGGCCCATCATCATCATCATCATCCATTCCTGCGTCTAAAACACTGGTAGCACATTGTCTAAATTCAGCAGTCATCGGTATCAGTTAGCCCAGCAAACTTACCGATACTGATTCCGGATGAAGTTCTGCTTCCTGGTGACAGTTTTGACGCCATCTTCCACACAACAACACGTTTCCTGAGCGACGCTTTGCTTCTGGGCGATGCTTTGCTTCCGGGTGACGCTTTGCTTCTGGGCGACGCTTTGCTTCTGGACGACGCTCTGCTTCTGGGCGATGCTTTGCTTCCGGGTGACGATCTGCTTCCGGGCGACGCTTTGCTTCTGGGCGACGCTTTGCTTCTGGGCGATGCTCTGCTTCTGGGCGATGCTCTGCTTCTGGGCGATGCTCTGCTTCTGGGCGACGCTTTGCTTCTGGGTGAGGCTTTGCTTCTGGGCGATGCTCTGCTTCTGGGTGAGGCTTTGCTTCTGGGCGATGCTCTGCTTCTGGGCGATGCTCTGCTTCTGGGCGATGCTCTGCTTCTGGGCGATGCTCTGCTTCTGGGCGATGCTCTGCTTCTGGGCGACGCTTTGCTTCTGGACGATGCTCTGCTTCTGGGTGACGCTTTGCTTCTGGGCGACGCTTTGCTTCTGGGCGACGCTTTGCTTCTGGACGACGCTCTGCTTCTGGGTGATGCTCTGCTTCTGGGCGACGCTTTGCTTCTGGGCGACGCTTTGCTTCTGGGCGACGCTTTGCTTCTGGACGACGCTTTGCTTCTGGGCGATGCTCTGCTTCTGGACGACGCTTTGCTTCTGGGTGATGCTCTGCTTCTGGGCGACGCTTTGCTTCTGGGCGACGCTTTGCTTCTGGACGACGCTTTGCTTCTGGGCGATGCTCTGCTTCTGGGCGACGCTTTGCTTCTGGGTGATGCTCTGCTTCTGGGCGACGCTTTGCTTCTGGGCGACGCTTTGCTTCTGGGCGACGCTCTGCTTCTGGACGACGCTCTGCTTCTGGGTGATGCTCTGCTTCTGGGCGATGCTCTGCTTCTGGGCGATGCTCTGCTTCTGGGCGACGCTTTGCTTCTGGGCGATGCTCTGCTGGTGGACGACGCTTTGCTTCTGGGCGATGCTCTGCTTCTGGGTGATGCTCTGCTTCTGGGCGACGCTTTGCTTCTGGGCGACACTCTGCTTCCGGGTGTCGTCGTGTTCCATCTCTGGTGGTGATGCATTTCGGGGTCACCACCTTTTCCCGCTCCGGGCCAAACCAGGACGCATTTAAATCCCGGCCTAGATCCGAACTCTGCGGTGACCCGTGGTAACGTTGAGCAAACGACCACCACCGCCGGATCTCAATGCAAATCTGTTCCGGACACCGACTGCCGCACCGCGTCGACCCCGCACGGCGCTTCTCTCGTGGCCGCCGCTTAGCTTCCCGGCGACGCTTTCGCTCACCGCGTCCCTCGTTGGCTTCCCGGCGACTGTTTGACTGCCGGATTGGACGGGCCTCAGCTTGGCGCCGTTGCTTTTACCTCTGCGGCAAACTTGCTTCCGGTGCTGGCGCTTCCGCACCCGGTGTCGCTTTTCTTGCTTCCCTGTGTCGCTTCGCTTCGCCTCGCCCCCCCCCCCCCGCCCCCCGACCTGCTGGGTGACGCCTCGCTTCCAACGCCCGACTCGGGCGTTGCGCTTCGCTTGTGGCCGGCGCTCGGGACTTCTCTACCCCGCCCACCACCACCCCCCTGACACCGGGGAAGTGGCGGGCTTCTGGGCGACGACAGTGACGGTGACGTTGGCCCTCTGTGTCCCCGTGGCCCCCTCGCGCAGGCAAGCCTCGGCCCGTCTCCATGCCCGTGCTGGACTGTGAGTGGTCGCCCGAGCACGTGCCCGCGGCCCGGAGAGACAAAAACAAGGGTGAGTGTCGCGTCGGTGGAGGGCCGGTTCTCTCGGCGTCGGTACACAGCTGCTGTTGTTGACGTTGTTTGTTGTTTTCTCATCGTACAACTGAGTCGCGCCGCTACAGTGGAAGGAACTGGAGAGGGAGGAAGACCTCTAACAGAGAATGGCTTGACGACGACATCATTAGAGATCGGCGCCAGAAACAAATGGGCAGCACTTGAGCATATTGGCACGAGGCAGAGGAAAGTGGAAACAAATGGCGAAATGTGCAGTGGACACCCCAGCGGGGCTATCTGCCCATGGATCAGCGATGGCGACAAGCGAGCCGTGCCTTTGTAGAAGCACGAGCCACGCCGCTGATGTCGCACGCAGACGACGCACGCAGACGACGCGGCAACACCGTGACCACCCCCCTCCCCCCCAACGGTGCACCAACTGACGCGCCACATGACGAACGCGTCGTTAGCCTCGCCCCCTGACCCTGCTTGGCCCCCCCCCACCCCTCCCCGAGTCAGATTCGGATGCCTTCCGAGACCGGCGTACATCGCCGTTTGATTCTGGCTCTGCAGGGCGAATAGCCAGTGGTGATACCACACCCGTACCGTGACAGCCCTGCCCTGGCTCGGCTCGGATGTGGCAGTGGAAAAAGGGGGGTACCAGTCGAGGGGGGGGGCCGCACACGGCTGTGGCAAAAGAGGGTAAAGGTGCAGCCCCACAACTGCCCGCTCATGTCGCTACTGGCGGAAGGGTCTCGACTAAAGGGAGCTATGGAGAGCCCCGACACTGGATATGTTGGCCTCTTCTTCCACTCAGGTCAAACATCTTAGGAAGATGTGGTGGGTAACCCGTTCACGCCGCTGAGTGGACAGGGATTGGGAGATTTGGGAGAACCTGCCCCACCCCCCCTCCCCCCCCGTTGCTTGAACGTCCGCACACGGAGATGGAATCGAACCTGCAGGTCCACGAGTGCGCTGACCATTACTCCACCGTGGCAGAAGCATCATCTTCATTATCATCGTCCAGATTGACTGCGCCCAAATATCTACTCCTGGGTGTGAGTGACTCCAGCACTGGGGAGACAGAGATAGCTGGATTTGTGTTGTTGAGTATCACCACGCCTGTGTGTGCCGTGACATCTTTAATGAAAGTAAAGTCAAATTGATTTCCGGTATACAAGCCAACGTTGCTTCAACATCACCACGTTTACCGGATAGGCTGCGCGCACATCTACTGTGCTGGATATTCCACATTCCTATGGCGGGGGTCAAGTCTTTCCGTCGGACAACCACTGTGTTTGATTTCCACACAAAGCAGTACTTGTTTCATGTCAACTCCGGAGGGAGGGATGGATGATGGGCTGTGTCAACCACCCACCCCCTACCCAGGATGTGAACTAGTGACCTTCCGCTCGAGTACGGAGCCACTCGACCACGCTCGATGCTGTCCACAATCGTCTGCAATCGGTGGTCGGCAAACAGCGATCATTCCAGGCCATGCGAGTGCCTTTAACTTATATCTAACAAAAAACTAAACTAAACAACAATTTTTATTTTTTATTTTAACAGCTCTCAAAGCCCACTGAGCTAAAGAGCTCTCTTTCGGAAGCGACCTGGCAATCACAAATGAGAACTCAACAAAGTGGCTTATCTTTTGATTTAAAGCTTTCGTGACTGCAGGGATTCATATTCTTGGTTCTTTCGGTAAAGTCACGTAGAAGGGAAATAATAAAATAATAAAAATATTAAACAATAAAATTTAGTTAATTGTTTTATATTTTTACTATTTTATTATTTCCCTTCTACGTGACTTTCCCGAAAGAACCAAGAATATAAAGTGGCTTTTCGTCACGTGGAAATGTTTGTCCTGCCAAAATACTCTGAATCCGTGATGTTGATTCTAAATGTGGAGGGGTTAAAACCAGAGGTACCCGGATAAAAACAAATCCACGGGGTCAGAACATGCAAACTCCAGATGTACAGGTGGCTGAGTCGGGATCGAACCCACGAGCTCCTGCATACCATGCGAGGGAGTTAACATCTCGCCACCGTGGCGCCCATACCGCCTTTATCTGGTCGCTCTAACGAATACACGATGGTTATTACTATGACTGCTACTACTAATAATGATAAGAGTAATTACATTCTTTTATTACGTCCCACATTTTAGCGTAAGCTCGGGGGCACGAGATATTGAACGGCAGCAAATTATATCGTAATGATGAACAATGCTCGCGTGTTTACCCTGACCTCCCACTCTGCACCCCTCTCTATTGAGTTCTACCATCATTTCCTGGCGTTCTTATCCATCGATCGCTAATCACGACGTTGGAGCAAATGGACGGCCGCGTGCAACGATGCCACTGAACGTTCGGAGGCAGCCGTGTGTAGGGACACAACTGGGGAAATGCAGAGTGTGTGTGTATACCGCCTCAAGGTGCACATGGCCTGGCACAAGCGTCGTGGTGACGTCACCGCCACTTAGTGGCGAATGGCGATTGTTGTTGTATACCGCAAGCGGTGTATCTACCGGTAGTGTGGCCATTGGAGCTCTGCCCTACGAACCCGGGGACATGAGTTCGATTCCCGCTCACGGCTAACACCAGTGACGATTGTCTGAACCGGTCTTGGACCTCGTCTAGTTCGACTCAGGCCTCAAATTAGTACCTGGTGTGGTGTGTAAACATCGTGCACTGGGGAGACAAAGGCGGCTGGGCATGGTGCTGGCCACCCACCCCCTCATGTGCCGTGCCGGCCTTTTATAGGTGCTCGCTTACAGCACTTGCCCCAACAGTCAGTTAAGGCTATACGGGGGATCTTTGTCTTTTTTGTATACTGCGACAACAAGCGGAGCACCGGGTGGCTAAAACGCAGCAAGCTGGCACAGTACAGGGCACAAGTGGTGCGTCTGCCAGTCATCTGAGTCAGTAAACCCATGGGACCAGGGTCTCTCCCATGACCTCCTGCCAGTTGAGCCTTCGACACTTCACGTGGGCTCAAGGTGCACCTAGCCTGGCACAGCGGTTGTTGTTATTTGTTGTTTGTCATTACACCCAGTGTAGTTATTCGAAGGCGGAGCGGGAACTCAGGCCCAGACCTATCAGCCGGTAGGCCCGTGCGGTCGTCGGCGGTTGAGACTCAGAGTGGAATAGCAGCCCAAGGACGTAACGCACCGGGGAGGGCATCCACCATGGAGATGGAGCGATGGAATCGGCTCACGCGGAGGTGCTTGTGTGCTGCACGATCGATTGCTGCATCGTAGGACCGTGAGAGATGGGAACGGTTTGGGGAGAGGGCCCAGCGGTGGATTGATCATGGCTCATGATGATATTGATGACGACAACGATCATGATGATCATGATCGATGCATAAAGGCACGGTAATGGAACAAGACAGACCCCCCCCCCCCCTCTTGCCTAGCATCTTAATAAGAACCATTCTGAAGGCGCCAGGGTGAAATAAGGTTCTTTAAAATGTCAGGTGGCCTGGTGGCCGAGATGTGAGCACCGAGATGGCACCGCCGCGAGCCTGGGTTCGAATCCGGGGTTTCAGTCACTGCCAGTGTTTAAACCGGGTTCCCAAGTCCAGCGCGTTGATGGCCTCGGCCCGATCACCGATGACTTGCAAAAAGACCCAGGGACTCGCATCGAGACCCATAGACTCACAGAGAGACCCGTAGACTCTCATGAACCCATAGGCTCACAGAGGCTGAGTTGTTATTAATCTGGGTTCTCAAATTTAGTGAGTTAATGGTCTCAACCCGGTCACCAATAACCGCGTGAAAATAAATTACATTAAACTTGATTCCGCGCTTAGTTTGGCTCCATTCCAGCTATGAGAAATGAAAAGCTTCAATGTGGCTGTCACGTGAGAAATATTGCGCTCACGTGGTAGGACTGGGTAGGAAAGTGCTGCCCCCTACTGTTTGGACCAGTGGTCACTCAAAACGAACTTTCAGGAGGTAGCTCTGCGGGATCCGCTTCCGCGCGGCCGTTCTCTAACACGGACGAAGGGGTCCGCGCTGCGCGAGAATATTCCGAACGGATTCGTTCGTCTCGTGACGACGCGAAGATGATGGCTCAAAGAAGAAGAAAATAATAATCGGTCAAACATACACGTTTGTGTCCGAGACAGGGTCGCTCACGGAACTTGACTACGCGCCCAGCGCGGAACATTCGAGGGCTCACAGAGTATCCCAGACGGACGGTCCTCAAACGCTCTCTCGCTTAGTTACCGCTCGTCATCGCAACGCGCGAAAGTCCGCGCCGTCAGTCTACTCTCGCTCGGCCGTTAAAATTCATCACGAAGTCAATTCACCGTTACGGCGGTGCCCCGCTCTCCCTGTTCCCCGCCCGCCCGCCCGTCCGTCCGTCCGCCCACTCGCTCCCCCCGCCCCACCACCAACCCCACCGCCCCGCGTCCCGTTCATTATGAATCGCACTAAAAGTGACAGCAACGTTGGCCCTGGGCGTTCATCTGTTTAACTTCCAGATGCTTAGGCTCGCGACGGTGACCCCTCAAAGCAGATTAATCGTAACGAGGGCCCAGAAATAATCCGGGTCGAGACCCTACCCGAGCCCCGCAGGGTTCCTAATTGAACTCGTTTTCCTCCCCATCGAACCGCGCCAGCGTCGCCGCGCTCGTAGAGGCGCAAGCGCTACAACTGGCTCACTCGCTCGCCTAACTGCCCGACGGAAGAGACTCCCTTCCGCTGCAGAGGGAATTTCAGAGAACACCCCCACGACATAGTCCTTTGGCCTACTCTTACATGGTGATGTTGAGCAACCGGTGCTCGCGTGACATGCCCTGGCACGCCTGATGCTGGGGGGGGGGGGGGTGTCGGGGTAAAGGCGCCGGCCCTGCAATTCCCCGCTCACGCCCACTGCTGCCGGAAGAGTCTCCACGCGAGGGAACATCTCGAGCAAGCCCTTCTAGAAGCTATTTGGGCCTTTTCTTGCGCGTCTAGGATATAGAGTTTGGGGCACCCACACTTTACCCCACCATACGCGACCCGCTCACCGGCTTCATTGCGGTGAAGTCGTTTACACCGCTTGGTGTAACCGGCTTCATTGCGGAGAGGAGGAATTTGAGAAACTTGTACCACGGTGTCAAAGGCTGCGGGGGAGATGGAATCGAACCGGTGACCTATGCAGCGCAAGCCCAGCACGTGCTGCCAGTTACATCGCTGTGGCAGCGTTCTGCCTCTGTGTGTGTGTGTGGGGAGCGGTGGTGCAGTGGTTAGCGCGTTGCGCTACGAACCCGGCGACACGATTTCGATTGTCTGCTCAGGGCCAACATCGATTATAATATCTGAATCGGTTCTGGGCCTCCCCCAGGTCGACTCGGCCTCAAATGAGTACTTGGTGCAGTGTATAAACAACGCTACTGGGGAGACAAAGGCGGTCGGGCGTGGTGCTAGCCACCCACGCAGATAGCACTTTCCCCAAAATTATGTTACGGCTATAAAGGGGATATTTGTCTGTGTGTGTGCATGTATCTGTGTGTAAGGTGCATTGAGGTTCTGGGGAATTTACGTGCCCTTTGAATGCAAATAATTATGAAATCGTTATTTTTATATAAATTTTTTATGGAGTGGAACAGCAGCTCAGTGGTTAGTGTTATAAAAACCGTCGACCTGAGTTAGGCTCCCGGTCATGTCGGACATCAGTAGGGCGAGCGATATCCTCTACACCAGGCCGGCCCTGACAATCGTGGCGAAGTATGGTCAAACAACTCCGTGGTGGGGGAGACCTTAACCCAGCAGCCCGTTCATCATCCAGAGTGCTGCTGCGAGAATGAGATTGTCCGTGTGAATCTGAGATTGTTCGTGTGAATCTTTATTTACTTTTATTTTATTTTTGTTTTCATTTCAACTCGACGTGAGCTTGGCACAGACCACCGATCGCAGAACAAAGGCATAAATTCTGCAAACAATTTCCGAGATCGTCGCATAGGGCCTTGGTGTAGGGGTGGGGGGAGGGGCATTGGGCTCACTGCCCCATCCAGGTCTTTCAGTTTCATTTATTTGGTATAGCCCTGTGAGTCATTCGGCTCTTGAATCGGGTGCAACCGCAACAAACAAAAACATGAACAAGAAAACATCTTAAAGTGACTACGCGCAAACAGAAAAATCCAGGAAAAAACAGCAAAGTTTTCCAGGAAAAGCACCGTTTATCAACTCTGGGTGCAAAAATCCAAGTGGGATGCAAGTCAAACAATAACAACCATAAGATAATTTAGAGTAAAGTTATCAGTCTAACTCTGTACTACAACAAACAAACATGGCTAAACCAAAAGTTTTCGACATCACCACAGTAAAGCTATAAAAGCAATGTAACAGTGATCATAGGAACTGTGATTGAAATTTTACAATAAACGATTGCCATAACATGTACGACCAAACTTTGCAGCCATAACTGGCTGCATGAGTCACTCCATAACAGCAGGAGTATCAGTAGGAGTATCAACATTTTTCAATGCACCTTTAAGATCGGCACACTATAATCAAAACACAAGATCATACTTTGCAGCGGTCATCGGGAGCGAAACATTTGATTTCAGGCCACTGAATAGCAGTGGCAGCTAGGGCTGTACAACTCCTCTAGAGCAGTTTTGAGTGAAGATCTCACAGGGTGGAACGTCCGCGCGGATCTTAACGCCACTCTTGTTTTCTCCGCCCTTCCCCACGCGCAGACTCCTCGCTCCTCAAGCACCTGAGCGACGAGCGCATCAGCCCGATCAACGAAGAGGAGCTGGCCCACTGCGGCCAGGCCTCATGGGGGCCGTCGTGGGCCACAGGACGTAGCGGCGGCGCCGGCGGCGGCGGCGCCGGCGGCGGTGGGGCGCGTGTGCGAGCCACCAGCTGCGAACGCCCGCGCCAGACCCTCTCGGGCGCCAACGGTTCGGCCGATGGGGATGGAGACCGGCGCCACCGGGAGAGGGAGGAGGCCCACAGGAGGAGGCGAGGCGGCGGTGTCGGTGGGGCCCGCTCGGACCGGGAGGCCAGCCCGGGGCCCCTGTTCTCGCCAGGACGTCCCACGGCTCGCAGCGGCGTGGAAGCCAGCACCATGCCGCTGTTCCACGTGAGTAGCGGCCGCGTCGCTCGCGATGACGGACGAGCGAATCGAGGTGGTGCCCCCCCCCCCCCCCCATGGGTCACTGAGCTCGTGTTGGGGACTTGTGGTCTCAGCCTGGTTCCGTGACCCCTGCGGCCACTAGAGGCGGTTCCACGTGAGCGGTAGTGCCGGCTCCGTTTCCGATCTTAAAGCGGCGATGATCCGTGCAAATTTCTGCTCCGCGGCCGAAATAGGCAGTCGTGCCTTGTGAGCCGAGAAATCTCGGTTCCGAATCTGGGATCCGGCTGCTCCGCGGTGAATCCCGATGGTCGCGAGCTGACGGCGTTTTGTGTGATTTTTTTTAATCCGTGGCAAACGCCGCCGTGCCTCAACCGGGTGTGGGACTTCACTGGTAAAATAACAAAAAAAAATTGGGTTAATGTGAACGGATCGCACAGCATATGACGGACAGATGAACGGACGGGAGTCGTGGTTTCCGACGGGGGGGGGGGTGGGGGGGGGTCACGCCCCCGGGAGCTTCCGTCGAGAACTGCGTGCCACGTGGGCGACGCGGTTTCCCGGTGGAAGCTCCCGCAGCGGGCGTGGAAGCGAAACGTGGTGAGGCGGCCACGGCACCGCCACGTCCACCGCCGTAGGAGACCCCCCCCCCCCCCCATAGGTTCGCAGCCACAAGAGAAGAGCCGTTTGTTTTCATCCGCTAGCCAACCGAGTGGGGTTGGCGGGGGGAGGGCGGCACGAGCGACTCTCGCTTCCACATCTGTCATCGCGCGAGCGGCAATTAAATTAATTGGTCCACCATGTGATGGATCGCCGCGGTTTCCGGCTAACGACTGAAGGCCCCCGCGTCGTCTCATCGATGGCTGTTGTGGGGAGCAGGGGGGTGGGGGGGGAAGGCAGCGGGGTGAGGTGGGGTGAGGACGAAGGAAAATAAGACGAGAGCGCGGCGCCGTTTGCGGATTTATTCACCGTTACCGGTGAATCAATCGGCCGGGATCAAGCGCGATGCTTGAAGGTTGCCTAGATTATTGTGGTGCTAGAAATGTCCAAATGATAGGCCACTTTGTTGAGCTATCATTTGTGGACAGGAACACTTCTGGAAAATAAGTTAATGCCTTTAGCGGGCTTTGTCTGGTAGGATGGGAATGTTTTAGTTTTGTATTTGTGTCTATGTTGGGTGATTTGTTTACCTTTCATATACTTTGCACTACCATCGTGTTTTTGTATTGTTCGTTGTTGTAACGTTCTCACCCGCCCCGACATCGGTGAAAAAAAGCTTTATAGCTCACCGGATTCTTCCAGTATAAATAAATAAATATCCCCGATTGTGATTCTGACTTTGGGCTGCCAAGTTTGCATCGCCCGTCCGACCGATTTTTTTCAACCCCACCGCCAGCTCGAGCTGGGCGTGCGAGTCAACGGCAACAGATCGCCGCCCTGGTGAATGGCGATGCGGCGCGATCGCCTCTCGAATTACTACCCCCCCCGGGTTACTACTGCGGGTGGTTTTGACCATAACAAAAAAAGTATAAATACTCACCGACTTGCCGCGCCTCCCCGTTGGCAGCGGACGCTCGAAGTCCTGGTTCGTTATTCGCAAGAAAGAGCCGGGGGCGGTGCGTGCCGGCGTCACCGGTTCACGTTTGGCGAGTTTGACGAATCGCTCGCAAAGCACCCGACCGGGGGAAGAGTAAAAAAATCAAAACCACCACGTGGCAACACCGCCCCCGACTGCGACGCCTCTACAAGCCTGCGAGACGTAGCGCGTCACTCTCGCTTTGCATTGCAAGGTCGGCGAGAATACCAAATGCGTTGTCCCCTTTTGTGAAGTCTCGAATCTAAATCGCTTTGTGTAATTGGTGTCGTTACGTCAACTCCCCCGGATGGGGTGAATTTTTCAAGTTATGAAATTTTTTTTTTGCTCAGCTTCATTTGGCCACTCTCTTATAACCCCCTCTCTCGCAACGCCAACAACACCCTCTTATGTGTGCCGCCCCTCCCCATCATCCCCGCCACCCGCAGCCCCCACACCCCCATCCACGTGGCCGGAACGACCACCGCTAACGAACGCTGCTCTCATCGCCACGGCGCGTCACGTCCCATCAACTTAATGCAGCGTCAGCCGTCAAATTAAAGTTTTATTTTGGAGTGGAAACGCGAGCCTGGCGGCGCAGCGGCGCCTTGCCTGTCAAAATAATATAGCGGCCAAAGGCGCGTTAGAAGCTTCGCTCAGCAAATTCATTTAATCCATATTTGTTATTTTACATGTACGATATATGTGCATTCATATAAATAATATTATTTCGCAATAGAAATATTTCGGTCATTATCCGCGGTAAGTTTCCGGGCTCGCGCGCTTGCTCGCGAAATTCGGGTTGCGGAACGAAGGGGCGGTGAAGGAGGTGGCAGATGATGAGGAGGAAGGAGGTGGTGGTGGAGGCGACGGGGGAGGTGGAGGAGATGGAGGAGGTGGAGGAGGTGGAGGAGGAGTTTGAGGACGTGGTGAGAGAATGTCGCTGGCGTTGGTCGAGTAGGGATGATGAGTGATTCTCTCGGCGAGTTGTTTCGTGGGAGTGCAAATACCTACAATCGGCATCGTAAAAAAAAAAAAATCGGCATCAACAGCAAGACCGGGTGCCCAAAGCAATTCCCGACATCGCGATGCTCACTGGGGCCACGCGACTCCACAGCCCAGCGGGAAGCTCTCATCTAACGCGCCGTTAAGGGCATCGTGTTTTTTTGCCGAGAGATAATTCCACACTTTGGTGAGATGGTTATAAGCGACGTGCAGGCTCAGGATTTGTAACACGCAATTTGCTGTTTCTCCCCCACCTCCCCTCCTCCTCTTTGGAATCTACTTTGTGTTCTGGGTCCTTGATTTACGATAAAAAAACGACACCTGCAGAACTCTAATGCAGACGACGGCGGAGAGAAAACCGCAAAAGTCCGAGCGGATCTGCGTGTGCGTGCGTGATACCGTGAACTCTCCCAGCCCGGATTCTGTCGGCCGGCCTCGACTTCATCCTACCACCTCATCCTGCCAACCTCATCAGCCCCATCTCCTCAAATGAACGATACATCTCACCCCGTGGCTCACGCCTACAAACGTGTCGTCGTCCGTCCGTCTGTGTGTCCATTTATTCGTTCATCCGTAAGTCCATCTGTGCAATTGTCCGACTATTCATACATACATTTTACCCTCTGTCTGTCTATTTGTCCATGTGTCCATCCGTCTGTCTTTCCATCTGCTTGTCCTTCATCCATTCATCGTATTTGTCCAACCATCTGTCCATCCGTCCACTTGTCGGTGTGTCCGTCCGACCGTTTTTCACCGTCCATCCATCTGTCCATCTATCTGTACTTTGATGTCTGTTGGTTCGTCCATTCGTCCGTCCGTGCATCCGTCTGTTCATTCGTCGGCCATATCCACGCGTCCGTCCGTCCATCTGCCTTCTCTCGCTCTCGCCCGTGTTTTAATTAACTGCGCATGTCGGCGCTTAGGAGAAGGGTTTTGTTGTCACAGGAGCCAATTTTCTTGACCTATTGTGCCGCGTTTCCAATGCAGTTAAGTGCACAGGACTCGGCCTTCCGCGCTTTAAAACACTATTGAATCTGATTAGCCTTTGCGCAGCAAAACGAACGGTCTGTTCCTTAATAAGCGTGCGTGCCTCCGCGACCCGGACGGAGGTCGTGTGCCTCACCTACGCTGGGCGGGCGGGCGGGCGGCCTGCTGCGTACCAGATGCCACCGGTGTTAATTTCACAAATGATTTTTGTTGAAGTCAAAAATGTATTTCCCGCTCTACATGTGAGCATTGTGTTTACAGCCCTGAGCCATCGGTGGAAATACCACATTCCTATCGCGGGGGGGGGGGGAGGGGCAAGTCTCTCCATATTACAGCATTGTTGACTTCCCTACAAATTAGTTTATAGTTGTATCGACCCCAGAGGTATTATGGGCTGAGTCAACCCCCACAAACAGGATTTGAACTTGCGACCTTCCGATTGCGAGCCGCCCGCCCGCTGGGCCATTCAACACAATGGGCGACGGTAAAAATCGTCAACAAAGAGTTTTTTATTGGATTTGACAAGGGCGAGGTGAGACCGCCCGTGACGAGGTGCATGCTCATGGTTCGAAAGAGGTGGACGCTCACGTTCCAAATGAGGTGGACGCTCACGGTCCGAACGAGGTGGACGCGGACCAAGATCATTCAGTGACGTCGTCCGAGACTGCAGTGCGCCGAGGAAGACAGCGCGTGCCTTATATTTTATTGTTCCTGTTAAGTCAGCACAGTGTGTGTTGGTCTCGTTAACTGCGCTTGTGCGTTGCTGCCAACTCAGTGGCGGCAGCGGCGGCAGCGCCCGGCACCAAATCAAATTTATAACATCGGTTTGGCGGCAGCTGCGCCGCCACTCGCGCCGACGTTTAGCAGCGCTGAGCGCTTGACCGATCGTTCGACTGCGTTGGGCGAGCCAGACTTAAGGGGACGCCTCGAGGCTCGACTTCAAATCGGCGGAGGCTGCTGTCGACTTGGCTCGGAGCGCGGCAAAAACACAGAGCCCTAATTGCACCGCACGCGACCCCTGAGCATGGGTCGCAGTGCGCCGGGTTAATCCCCGCGCCCCGCGCCGACGGCACGCGCCAAACACGGTCGTGGCCTCTCGTTTGTGCCCAGTGCACGTTTGTCCTTGTCTCACTTGCAACAGGGCTAGCTTGTCGTGAGCTCGCTTGCAACAGGCCATGCTTGTTGTGAGCTCCCTTGCAACAGGCCAGGCTGGTCGTGAGCTCGCTTGCAACAGGCCAGGCTTGTCGTGAGCTCGCTTGCAACAGGCCAGGCTTGTCGCGAGCTCGCTTGCAACAGGCCAGGCTTGTTGTGAGCTCGCTTGCAACAGGCCAGGCTTGTCGTGAGCTCACTTGCAACAGGCAAGGCTTGTTGTGAGCTCGCTTGCAACAGGGAACACTTGTGAGCTCGCTTGCAACAGGCCAGGCTTGTCGTGAGCTCGCTTGCAACAGGCCAGGCTTGTCGTGAGCTCGCTTGCAACAGGCCAGGCTTATCGTGAGCTCGCTTGCAACAGGCCAGGCTTATCGTGAGCTCGCTTGCAACAGGGCAGGCTTATCGTGAGCTCGTTTGCAACAGGCCAGGCTTGTCGTGAGCTCGCTTGCAACAGGCCAGGCTTGTTGTGAGCTCGCTTGCAACAGGCCAGGCTTGTCGTGAGCTCACTTGCAACAGGCAAGGCTTGTTGTGAGCTCGCTTGCAACAGGGAACACTTGTGAGCTCGCTTGCAACAGGCCAGGCTTGTCGTGAGCTCGCTTGCAACAGGCCAGGCTTGTCGTGAGCTCGCTTGCAACAGGCCAGGCTTGTCGTGAGCTCGCTTGCAACAGGCCAGGCTTGTCGTGAGCTCGCTTGCAACAGGCCAGGCTTGTCGTGAGCTCGCTTGCAACAGGGCAGGCTTGCCGTGAGCTCGCTTGCAACAGGCCAGGCTTATCGTGTGCTTGCTTGCAACAGGCCAGGCTTGTCGTGAGCTCGCTTGCAACAGGGAACACTTATTGTAAGCTCGCTTTGCAACAGGCAAGTCTGAAAGTAATTGCAACAGGCAGTATGACATTTCCGTGATCGATTAATTATTTTACTTACGGAAAACGACTAAGTAGATGTTAATTCATTATTATAATGGTGACTGAAGCTCGTTTGTGGCTTTTCGGCGTAAAAGCAGCTACACGCAAATGTGCGTGCACACACACACAGAGAACTTGAAACTCAATTAAAGACACGATCGAAAATGAAGCAATTGCTCAAGTGCACGCCGTCATTTATTAAATGCCCTGCCCTCTCCCCGTGGCGGTGGCGCTGTAACGCAGCATGTGTCTGTCCATCGTCCGTCGGTCATATATCATCCATCGTCTGTATGTCCGTCCGTCATCACGTATGTCCGACCGTTGTCCATACGCCCGTCCTTCAACCGTCCGTTCTCCATCCGTCTGTCCATCATCTGTCCGTTGTCCGTTCGTCTGTACGTCCGTCCTGGCGGCACGGCCAGGACGCTGCTGCTGTTCCAGGGACCGCGTTACGGAGCCGACGCGCGTCCAGCGGCGCGTATCCGCCTGCCCTAAACGCGAGACCGTGTATTTCTCCGAGTTAATGGACGGCAACCTACTCACCTCCCCCACCCAGCTTTGGGGTAATTTCAAAATGAACAAAGAAAATAAATGTAATCGACGACGTTTGCCCGGGCGAGATGCGACGCGGGGCGAAAAGCGCCGGGCGAGTGTGTGCCCACGGTGAGCGTTGGAGCGTTGTCACCGTAAGTCGTCGGACTCCATTATTGATGAGACTCTCACTTCTCGTCTCCCCTTTCCCTTGTTGGTTTTGTTCTCAGAGAGGACCCGTGGACCAAGTGCCGGAGGAGCGAGACAGGTAGGCTGCTCCATGCCCCGTTCGATTTTTCAAACGCGTTCCAAGTCACCAGGGTTGCTTTTGCTCTGTCCGTCCGCCCGTCCGTCTGTTTGTCGCAGTGGGGGGGGGGAGGGAGGGCGTACGTTCACTCTCGTAGCGTTGATCCAATACGAACAATGCTCTCAAGTGTGAAGTTGCTTTGCTATCTGAGAGAAGACCAGCCACATGGACCTCCCCCCCTCCAGCCCTGACACGGCTTCATCGTCTCATCGCGGCCCAGGCGCGAGCGCTACCGTTAATTGTCGCCAGCGTCTCGTAATCCACGCGTGTCTGTGCGTGATTCTTCTTCCTTGTTAATTCGTTGAGGCGCCCGGCCGCCTCCGAGTTCCGAGAGGCCGTGCGGGCACCACCCGAGTTTCCTGGGTTTCATCCCGGGTCTGAGACACCCGCACGGGCCACAGCGATTCTATAAACTATTTAAACTATTTTTTTTATCTTACCAGGTAAGGCCCACTGGGCTACACAGCCTTTTTTTTCATAAGCGACCTACTATCACAAATAATAGCTCGACGAAGTGACTCGTCACGTGGAAATTTAAAAGCGGCCAAATACTCGTAAACGTGTGATGTCGATTCTAGAATGCGGAGGAAAAAACCCGAGGACTCGGAGAAAAATTCACATGACCACGAGGAGAGAGACATGCAAACTCCAAATATACAGCAGGCGTCAGTGTCGAGATCAAACCCACGACCTCCTGTATACTAGGCGAGGCAGATTCAACCAGGGTCTCAGCCGAGGGTCCCAGCCTGGTCCACGCGATGCCTGTAGCCACTAGGGCGCTACAATGCACCAACGATAGTCGGATAGCTTAGGGGTGAGAGGCTGAACCTGTTCGACTGAAACCCTGGGTTGGATTCTGGGTTCTCAGCTACTGCCTGTGGTTCATCCGGGTCCCCCCCGCCCCCCCCCCCGGTGAGCAGATCGTCTCCGGCCGGTCACTGATGACCGTGCAAAAAAATCTAACCGTCGCGTGAAGTTTGGCTAAATTCCCGCCCTGAGAGTTAAACGTCCCTCCAACCGCCCTCTGCGACGAAGACTTTTCTCCGTGGCAGGGCGAGTGGGAATGCAGGCCCCGAGTGTGCGGAGGATAGAGGCAGTAAGGGAGATAAATGAGAAACGGATTGGGGCTGAACGATGTGGCGATACCGGCTAAAGAATGAGAACCGTGATGGGGGATTCATTCGGGCCCCCATCATCGCTAATGATTTGACGGATGATGGCGATGATGGGAGAGGTTTTGTCATCATTACCGCTCATCAGCACAGTCTCACGGTCTTTACCCACGGCCTCTTGAAGGGACACAATATGATGATGAGTGTGCGGATGATAACAGGTTGTTCCATCTTTATTGCCACTCATCAGTGGTGTGTAGTCATCGTCATTATTGACGCTCTTCGGCAACAGTTCTCATCAGGTAGCATGGCCAGCCATCGAACAAAAGATGCTCACTGAATCACTTCTGCGGCCGTCTGGAATGCTCTTCCCCCCCGACATTAGTGAGCCACTGGAGCTATGCCACTTTAAAATAATCCGGATTGAAAACTCATTCCTTTGGAACTGCTTTTGTGTTTAGTTCCTTGTCCTTCCCCCGCGCCACCGATTAGCACGGTTGGCTACGTGCAGTGCAAAAGAAGTTCAACATACATACGTACGTACAATGCACAAGGCAAATTGAATAAGCGCGCAGTGCAAACGCGTGTCGAGGCGCGGGCCTGTAATTGCACGCAATCATGCCGCCCGTCGGCAGGCGGCGAGTGCTTCTGCGCACTGGACTGCATCGTCACAGATAAAGGTGCAGACCCCGCGATTGCCTTGCTCACGCCACCGCTGGCAGAAGAGCCTTGGCTACTGCCACCGCGTGCTTCCTTAGGGTGGCCTGTACCGAACAGGCCTTCCCCTGAGCCGACACGAACAGGGGGGGCGGAGGGGGCGGAAATTATCGTCGCCCGCGGGCCCCCCTTCTCCCGATTCCCACGAGCGACCACCCGCCGGCCGGTAACCTAGGAACACCGCGTCTCACTTGCCGGGCTCGGCTTGTCGGCCTCGGGGGGCCGTGGGGGCCGGGGGGGGGGGGCCAGGGGGGGCCACTGACGGTTAGGAATCAAGCAGAGGCACGTTCGCTGGCAAGAGATTTGCGAAGTCGGCGAGTGGCGGCTTCTTCCCAAGAGCTAAAGCACGACGGGATGAGGCCGGGCGGGGGGGGGTTAGTGGGTCGTGGCGACCCGGGAGGGGCGGGGGGGGGGGGTCCAATCGACGTGCTCCGGGAGAACCCTGCTGCCTGCTCGCTTGGCTCACGAGATTCCAGCGATCGCGGAGCGAGAGACGGTAATGGGGGCAATAAATAACACGGCGATAATTATTATTATCGCCGTTTATAACTCGTAAAGCGCCTCAATGTCGACTGCAGCGTCTCGAGACGCCGTACAAACGTAGGGGGCAAAAGGGTAAAGTAAACGAGGTGGGGGGAGCGGGCGGGGGGAGGAGGCGACGAGGTCACGGTCACGAGAGTGAGATGGGGATAGTTTTGCCGAGAGCGCGATTGGAATTAAACTGTTGGGGCAAGTGCTGTTAGTGAGAACCTATGGAGGTTGGCAGGGCACACGATTGGTTGGGTGGCCAACACCACGTCCGGCCGCCTTTGCCTCTCCAGTGCTGATGCTCTTATACATCGCGTTAGGTACTTATTTCGGGAGCTAACCTCAGTAAGGCCCAAGACCGGTTCAGATAAATCGCCACTTTTATTCGTCACGAGCTTGAGTCAAACTCGTGTCTCTGGGTTTTCACCCTCCCTACTGGTCAGACACACATCTACCGTGTTTCAAGTCACACTCCCAACTTTTCCTTTCAACTACAGGGTTAAAAATTACGCCCTAGAAAGCCGGAGAATTTGGTATCAGTGAACACACGGTTTAACTCCAGGCAGCTGAAATCCGGACTGCAACCCAGGTTTTATTGCTCGGCTGGCTCTGACCCCGGCCTCTTCCATCCTCCAACCTCCTCCTGGCGTTAACCGCCGGGGCGTGCAGGGCGGCGGGCAATTTGAGACATCGCTCGTTGCGACGCAAGCAATGACGGCGGCGCGTCGCCCCTCCGCCGGCACCATCGGTCGCGCTCCAGAGGGCGTTCCGTCTCCGCGTACGCACCCCACGATCACGGTCGCACCTCCCCACCGCCCCCTCCCCCACCAAGAACCCCCTTCCCTGCCTTGCCGCTCTCTTATCGGCGAATATTTATGGATGACTGATTAGTGCTGCGGGTCCGATCGATCGCGCGGAATAGAATTATGGCCGGAGAGCCGGGGCGGGATTTATATTTGTCGGGCCGGGGCACGCCTTCGGCTTTTTATCGCCGGAACGAAGGGGGTCGATGAGTTTTAGTAAATTACGCTTTTCATTTACTGGATCCGCGGCGCACCAAGCCCGAGTCGATACCGCATCATCCTCCCGATCACCCGGCAGGCGCCGTCGTCAAAGGCGGACGGGTGCTACAGGCGTGGATTTTTTGTTTTGTTTTTACTACATAAATGATCGCGATCCCGCAGGTTCGCTCACCCTCCGTCCAATTTGCGATTATTATAAAAAAAAAATACTACCGGGGCTGTTACCACGTCGTTCAGCAAGATGTCCGACGTTTCACTCCGCGTGTTGTGGGAGCTTCTTCAGGAGCTGAGAAGGACGTAGGACGGACCCGAAAACACTTCACGGCGGCGGCGCTAGACAGGGAGTCTGTCTCGACGCGTTAAATATAGCGTTACACCCGTCGGTCGATCGCTCTTCCCCCGATCAATGTTGTCGAGCAGGACTCGTTAAATCGGGCAAACTTTGAGCCGGCTTCAACCTTCGTAGGCTCATCAGCATAATCAGGCCTCTTTACTCGGTGCAGCAAGGAGATTCCTTGGTCAGCGTTATCTTCTCGAGGGCTCGTGGGTTTTCTCCGAGCGAATCGGTTTCCTGCACTGCATGCCTGTAAAAAATTATAATGAGTTATTGCGCCGCGTGCCGTTTTGACGCGACGTCCGACGTTTTGCGGGGGAGCCTCCTCGGGCAACTGGATTCAGTTGGGCCACCTCCCGAAATCGAGCTCCACACATTCATCAACACCACCATGCAAACATTTTTAATTGGTGACATTTCAGGCAATCGCCGATTTTATAAAATATTTCTTTTTTAAACGTATAAGGCCACACATGGTGTTGTTATTGACGAATGTGAGTTTGTTGTTGCTGCCTTGTGCACCATTGCCAACGTATCGATGGGCAACTGAGCTGTTTCCCACGTAGTCCTCAGACTTTGGAACTCTCTTTTCCTCTCTCTCTCCCCACGAGATCTCAGAAATTCTGAGTCTGTGGACTTAAACAAAAAAAACTGGTCTGAAGAAAACTTTTTATACACTTTATAGAATTCTAGCAATAATTCAGCCGAATTTTTGTTTTTAGGTCCATGGTTTTTTGCCATGCCGAGCATCTGTTGCCCGCCATGTCTTCTCCACCACGCATTTGGACCCTTGCTGAATGATTGTTCTTCGTAGCGTGATTATAATTCGTTGCGCCCAAAAGCAACCACCATCGGAGAGCCCAGCTAACACCACACCCGCGAAAACCGGCGCCGCCGCCGCAGCCGGCGCCATCGCGAGCGGAGACACGGGGCACCTCTGAAGTGTCCGCGCCCCAGAACACTTCGGAGCACCAGGAGAAAACCCATCGCTCGCTGGCGTGCAGAGAGCGAGGGAGGCATCGCGATGCGCTCGGGCAAAGCGCCGCCCACGGTGCCGGCGGCCTCGTCCGTCACCGGCACGCCCCCCACCTCTTCGTCCGCGCATCCCGCCGCCGGCCAGTTAGTCAGCTCTTACGTTTTTACTCTCTGCCCCGGGGAAGTTCGGACTCGATCGATCGATTCGGCAACTCTTCCCCCCCCTCGTCCTCCCGACCCCTTCCCAAATGCCTCCCACCCACCCGCCCCTCT